TACCTGCATGCTGTGCACAATATTCATATGCTAGCGGTTTTAACAAGCTATGGGAATCAACACACCCACATGTCTGCATAGACGCCTTGTCATAGGCACAGCACAGCATGCACGCAAATTTGGGTGATTGTGTTGGTTGTTTAAGAACAATGCTAAATGCTAATTGGCAGTGAGGGAGAGCGTTCTCAGTGGAGAGGAGCAAGAGAGAGTTAAGTGTGTTGAGCGTGACAAAAAAAAATACAAAAACAAAATCAGGTTACCAAAAAAGGAGGAGGAAAGAAAAAATAAAACTTAAAGGATAAGAATTTCTTACACTTTTTTCCTGAAATTTTTCTGCATTTGTCTTGTGATAGATAGATAGATAGATAGATAGATAGAGAGAGAGAGAGAGAGAGAGAGAGAGAGAGAGAGAGAGCGAGAGAGAGAGAGAGAGAGAGAGAGAGAGACTTTTTTTGACTTTTAAGGTCTCTTTATTACAAAAAACGTTTTAGCTAAAAACAATTTAGCTAATTAAAAAATACATGACATCTTAAAAAAACAAAAACATTTTTTTCTTTTTTTGCTGATACTTACAAATAAATATTTAGAACATTTTCAGAGTCAGCATGACAGATACACTGATTTACACCCCATTTGTAATTAAACATTGCCAGATCATTTACCATCTTGTAAAACCCATACTCTACATTAATGCGAGATTTTATTAGTCCTTTTACAATTAAAAAAGCATCAGTTGAACCTTTGTCATTTAATTTACTTTTTCTTGACAGCCAAATTGCCATCTTTGCTTGCCCGAATAAAAAGTTTAATAGAACATGATGCTCTCTTCGATTTTTATTGTATTTAGGTCCATAAATAAACATTGCAGGTGTAAAGGCCTCTCCAAGTTTTTGGCACCATTCTTCTAGTTGATAAAATATTGGTTGTAGTCTTTTACAATTAAGGAATAAATGGAAAACAGTTTCTGGTTCTCCACAAAAAGGACAGCCCTCCCCTATCTGAGGATCAAGGCGCGCTCTATAACAGTTTGTAGTAACAATACAGTGTACAATCCTCCACTGCAAGTCTCCAGTTCTTTTTTCAATTGGAGGCTTATATAGAGATCTCCAACAGCCTTTTGGGGAGGCATTTGGTCCAATTGTCTCTTTCCATTTGGTCTCTCTCACACTCTGTAGTTGAAACAAGTTTGAGGTTTTCACACACATCACATAGATTGATTTCTTTCCAGCAATGCTAAAAAGTCTTGGTTCTGGTGTTTTAAACGATAATAAACTGTTTTCTGTTTCTGACCAAGTTCTTGTGTTGGCTGATATAACCAGCTCTGGGAATGCAGGAATTGTATTCTCTCCATTGTTGGTTACTAAAGACAAAATGTAATCCGATGGTAATGACTCGACTATCTGAGTCAACAATTTTCCTGTTGCCCGAACAGATCTCATTCCCAGTTTGGATGCTAGATCCTCGGCAGTAATCCAGCCATCCTCAGAAACAAAGTGTCCAATTTTAAATATATTTGCAGTCTTCAAAGCTTTTCTTAGAGCAAGTGAATTGAGAATGTCCAGATCAAGAGCAGGATTGTAAAGTAGGGGTTCTTCTCTTGACCACAGCCTTTTTACACCATTGTGCTCTCTAGAGAACCTAAAAAGAGTCCATGACCTCAACATTGACCTGTAAAAAGGTGTCAGTCCAGACAGGTCTAATTTATTAGTATCCATTAAAAACAAGTGGCGGTCTAGACCCATTTGTCCTGCTCTTCTCAGGATAGCACAGGCTACTCCGGCCCAGCTTACATTTTCTCCATACAAAAGTCTTTGGGTTGTTTGTAGTCGAAAAGCTTTTACTCTAGACATTATATCCACCAAACCTTGTCCTCCTTCCTGTAGGGGTAAATACAGGGTAGCTGCCTTCAACCAGTGTTGTCCCGTCCAAAAGAAATCCACCAGAAGCTGTTGAATTATTTTCACCATGTCCTCTGGGGGGTCCAATATCATCATTTTGTGCCACAATGAAGATGCGACTAAGTTATTGCAGACCAACACTCTCCCTCTGTAGGACAACTGGGGTATTAGCCATTTCCAGTGACACAAACGAGCACACACTTTTTCTTTTAAGCCCTCCCAATTCTTTTTCTTATATTCATCAGTTCCTAAAAATACTCCTAAATATTTAAAACCTTCTTTTCCCCACTTTAAACCACAAGGTAGCATAGGACTATTAAAATCTCGCCCACACCATAAGGCATCACTTTTTTCCCAATTAACATTGGCTGACGATGCTTTACTATAGCACTCCAAAACTTCCTTTAAAACCCGAACATCCTCATTATTTCTGATTAAAACTGTGACATCATCTGCATATGCAGAAAGTTTAACAGTAGATTTAAAATCTAACGTTTTAATCTCCAGTCCTGTCAATTTTTCTCTTAGTTTGCAGAGCAATGGCTCAATGACCAGGCTGTAGAGCTGGCCAGAGAGAGGACACCCCTGTCTTATTCCTCTTTGCACCTTTACAGGAACACTTAAACCTCCAGCAACTTTAATCATGCATGTTGCTCCTTTATACAACAGTTGTATTTTTGAAATAAAACCATCACCAAATCCAAAAGCTCTTAAGGTGTCAAAAAGGAAAGTGTGGTCAACTCTGTCAAAGGCCTTTTCTTGATCTATTGACAAAAAACCTAGATCTAACTCATTGTATGAAACAACATCATAAGCATCCCGAATCAAATGCAGATTATCTGTAATAGATCTTTTCATAATACAATATGACTGATCTTTATGTATAATTGTATTTAGTTCCAGATTTAATCTATTTGACAAACATTTTGAAAAGATTTTGTAATCCGAACTTAAGATTGCAACAGGTTTCCAATTTTTTAAAAGAGTTAAGTCACCTTTTTTTGGGAGCAATGTTAAAACAGCTCTCTGACAACTCAAAGGGAGAACACCTTTGCAAACACATTCTTGTAGTACTTCAAATACATCTTTTCCTAATTCAGCCCAGAATGCCTTATAAAATTCAGCAGGCAGTCCATCCAACCCTGGTGTTCGTCCTGTGGAAAGCCCCTTAACTGCAGCAGTGACTTCCTCAAAAGTAATATCAGCCTCAAGCAAAAGTTTAAGTTCTGGAGTTAAAACTGGGAGATCCTCCAAAAGAAGTCTCCTGCATTCCTCATTAGAAGGTTCAGAGGCATATAAATCAGAATAAAAATTTACAGCAAGTCTGCGCATTGTTATTGGGTCTGAAGTGTTGTGTCCATTATTATCTTTTAAAAAATGCATCAGTTTTTCTTGTCCCTTTTTTCGTTCTAAACTAAAAAAAAAAGAAGAAGGTCCATCCATATCTCTTATTTTTAAAAAACGACTCCTTATCAGGGCTCCTTTAACCTTTTCATTTAAAAATGAACTCAACTTCTTCTTTTTCTCAGTCCATCTATCTTGAAGAGTCAGGGTATCATTTTCACTCATGCTCTTTTCAATGTCAATGATTTCATTTTCTAACCACTCCAAAGTTTTCTTTAAAACCAATGAGGAATGAGATGTATATTGCTGACAAAAACTACGGATATGAGCTTTCCCCACTTCCCACCAATCAATAATGTTTTCAAAACAAAATTTTTCCATTTTCCAGGTCTCCCAAAAAACTTTAAAATTCTGGCAAAAATTTTTATCTTCAAGAAGTTTGACATTAAAATGCCAGTAATAACTCTTATGTTTTCTCTCTACCAGCATACAGTCAATTGTTATTAATTTATGATCTGAAAAACATATAGGGATAATTGATGCATTAGCAACCTTGTTTCTTCCAGTATGTGAAATATAAAATCTATCTAATCGAGCTCCAGACACTTTTCTATTACTGATTTTTATCCAAGTATATTAATATTTCTCTAATGGGTTATGTTCTCTCCAAACATCAGAAAAGCAAAAATTTTTTATTATATTTTCTAAAAACGCAGCTGATTGTAAATGAGGTTCTTCTCCATTTCTGTCTTGAATAAAGTTTAATGTGCAATTCCAATCTCCCCCTAATATAGCAATGTCACCCTCGTGTTGTTGTTTAAATATGTGCTCTAATTTAGTGAAGAACTGTATCCTGTCTGCTCCTCCATTAGGGGCATAAACATTTACAAAAAAGAAGAAGAAACCCATTATTTCAGCTCTTATAACCAATAACCTGCCAGGAATTTCTTCCTTTTTTGACAGGACTTTTACTTTTAATGTGGGGGAAAAAAGTACAGCCACTCCAGCACTTAGATTAGTTCCATGACTAAGGATTTTCTCCCCTTTCCACCATAATCCCCAATCAACCTCATTATCCATACAACTATGAGTTTCTTGTAGCATCACCACACTCAACTCTTTTAACTTTATTATTTCTGCAAGGTGACTCCTTTTTTCCCCATCTCTCATTCCATTTACATTAACTGATCCCACTCTCAAGACTTCCATGCATAAGGGAAAAAAGAGAGGAAAGAACAGATAGCAAAGAGAAAGAAACACCTTCATTTAGTATTTAGTTTTCCCCCTCACTTTCCCTGGCTTTTTTCCACTTCTTATATTAGTGATATGTTTTCTTAATCGAAACCGTTTCTGTTGTGACAGCACTTCCAGGCTGCTCACTTTTCTGGCCCGCATAACAGAAGAAATAAATTTTTCTGTATCAGGGAAATAATCACTAACTTCAACACCCACTTTTCCTTTAGTTTTGTCTAAGAAGGAATTAATTTGTTCAACAGTATACAAGCCATTGTCATTTTCTGCTGCAGCATCTGACCACTGTTCCTCATCTCTTATACTATCATCCATACACTGTGACAAACCATCCAACTCATCAATCATACTGTCCCCTACACTTTCAGCTTGTGAGATTTCACATTCTTCTGCCATGCAATCAGTTGTATCATTATTCTCAGCAGCCTCACTAACATCAACACACTCTGCAGGGTTGCTACAACCAGGTTGTTCTACGCTGGAAACTATAACTGAAGTTTCACTCACCTCTTGCTGTTCTTCTTCCCTTTGCTCGCCACCTCCCTGTGTCTGTTTATCTCCTGTTTGTATTTCCGTGTCATTTGTCCCGGTATTTGTATCAGTTGTTTGTTTTCCATCCTTATTTGGACAAAAAAAACCGTTTGTGCCCAAAAATTCCGCACTGAAAGCACTTCATGCTTTCAGTACTAGCGAAAACCATGTAGGAATTTTCCCCATGATTTACGCGAAAAGACGCGTCTAATATACGGTCCGGTGAATTCAAAAACATGTAAACTTGACGTCTAAACGAGAGAACATGTTTTAAAGCGACATTCTTACACCCAAGGGGGATCGTTCTAACGGGGCCTGCAATTTTCCCAAACCTTTGCAACTCTTTCGTAATCATTTCATCTGAAATAAAAGGCGGAACATTCGAGATCGTGATTTTTGTTGCAGGAGTGGACAGCGGGTTTACCCTTACAAACGTTTCTTTCACCCATATTCCACTCACAATCAGCTGATTAACTAAAGATTCCGATTTAAGGAATACAACAACAGCTTTGTTCATGCGGGAGGCCGAGAGAATATTCTCAAAGCCTACCTGTTCTCCAAAGATCAAAAGCAGCTCCTCCACTGTCACCCCCGGCTCTGGTACACACCTGCAACCGTTTCTGAGTGACAGTGAGGGCGTCCCTTGCTCGGGATCAGCCGCCATTGCGGCGTTAAATGTTGTTTAAACGTTATTTAGGTACAAAAATAACAAACATAAACTACAAAGAAAACGGGGGGGGGAAAAATAAATTAATTTAAGGGGAAAAAAAAAAGGTAAGAAAAGCCACGCTCTCCAAAAGACGCTCAGCTCCCGTTCACCCAAACGCACACCACGTGAGAGAGAGAGAGAGAGAGAGAGAGAGAGAGAGAGAGAGAGAGCCTCCATACACTGTTTTTGCATTTAGCCAAGAATCTGAGCCATGCCCCTGTATTACAATATACTCAGATCAGTTTCTGGCCTCATTTATATGTGGAAATAAATTCACTATGAAACGGATATGTGCATTTGTGTTTGCAGTAAGCAGGTAGATCAGATATTCACCTGTCAATGTAAAAGGCTAGTGAACAATGTCAGATCTGAAGCTTCAGTCTCAGAAAATTCAAAAAGTTTGAAAGTTTTATTTTGCATTATTTTAAAAGCAGTATTTATAAATGTATACAGTATATGTATTATTCAGTATTGTTAATATGTACTTTGTAATATTAATGCTATTATTAATTGTTAGTTTAAACGATTCTAAACTTAAGATGATGTTCAATTATAGACATTCCCAAATAATAATAACAATTATATTAATAATAATAATAATAATAATAATAATAATAATAACAATAATAATAATAATAATAATAATAATAATAATAATAATAATAATAATAATAATAATACTGCAATGCAGTGACACAGTAGATAGTACTGTCGCCTCACAGCAAGAAGGTCGTTGGGTCGCTGGTTCGAGCCTCAGCTCGGTTGGTATTTCTCTGTGGAGTGTGCATGTTCTACCTCCTCCGTGTGCTCCGGTTTCCCCCACAGTCCAAAGATATGCGGTACAGTCGAATTGGGTAGGCTAAATTGTCTGTAGTGTATGGGTGTGTGTGTGAATGAATGTGTGCGGTTCATTCCGCTGTGGCGACCCCGGATTAATAAAGGGACTAAGCTGACAAGAAAATGAACGCATGAATAATAATATTAATAATAGTAATATGAAAATAATAATAACATTTATTTTCCAGTGATGGGTTGCGGCTAGAAGGGCATCCGCTGCGTAAAAAAAAACATGCTGGATAAGTTGGCGGTTCATTCCGCTGTGGCAACCCCAGATTAATAAAGGGGCAAAGCCGAAAAGAAAATGAATAAATGAATAATAACATTTATATTTGTATTATATTTTTATTTACAGTAATAAGTTGAGTAGTTCAGCAATGATATATAGTTCCATCTATATATATATATATATATATATATATATATATATATATATATATATATATATATATATATATATATATGTATATATATATATATATATATATATATAGTGGCATCTATATATTATCGTAATAAAATGTTAATAATAATTAGTAGTTGTAGTTTGATAATCATCAGGAAACCTGGCTATGCTTCTCAATACTCTACTCATTGTAGGCAATAGCACAAAAATAAATAAATACATTATATATGAATAAAAAAAAATTATTAATATTAAGTCTGACCGCATCACTGCTCCTGCTGTGTTTACAAGTGTGGTTCATGCAATTGATAAACTGCTAGAACTGTCCGATCCATTTGCCTGTTGAGAAAGAGAGACAGAAAGTGAAGCCTGCTTTAAAGCCAAGCAGAGCGCTCAGTAAATGTCAAATATAAAGCGTGTGTGACGAAGACTGGCCTTTGTGCTTGGTCTCAATGGAGCCCACAGTTTAATAGAGGCCTGAGAGAGCTGGTGATCATCCAGGCAGCACAAGGAGTGGTCTAATGTGTGCCCACTTACCACTGTGGCATCAGCGCCTGCAATTACCAAGGAGGCTCCAATCAAACACTGCTGTGTGTTTTGCTTTACCCCTTGCTGAGCGTTTGGCTTCACTGCCATGACGGCTCTCGCTCAGACGCAAATGCGAAAATGGAAACACAGAGTCAAGTGAATGTTCATCACAGCTGCAGTTCAAATGTCTTGGTCGATAAGATGTGGACGTAATTGTGTTGCAGACGCATGAATGCCATTGATTATGATGTAATGCATTAACTTGAGCATGTAGAGATACATTAGGAACGAGAAGAAATGAGATTGAGAATTACATGTAAAAGTGCATTCTTCTGCAAAAAAAATTGGTTGGATTAAAAATCCCCTAGTTTTTCGCAATTTTGCCATCGCTGAATCCAAAGCAAAATCAAAAAAAAAGTTGCAATGTTTTGCAATCCCGCAAAATTCTTAATTTAAACGCAAAATTGATGAATAAATAAATAATCTTTTTAAACATCCAATTCTAAACTATATAATTAAATAGGTTTAAATTAAATTAAAAAAGGTTCAAATTAAAACTAAACTGTCCAGGGCTGCAGCCCTCCAGTTTGACACCCCTGCAGTATGGGAAGCTCTAACACATGTCATGAGTGTGGTACATGTCATCAGATGCTCCAGGGAGTGAAATCTAAAAAAGAAAACTTAAGATTGTGGATAACAATAAGAGTTAAACAACCTCCTTTTGGCTTGATGTGTTTAAGATCTTGTCTTGATAAGAGACCAAACTAACGAAGCTTTATTTTTAGGATTTATGTCATGAAGATTGCACACCTAACATAGTAGGCTACATAATGTGGTAAATAAGATATATACATAAGATAAGATTTAGATTAAAATGTCCATAAAACAAATTCTATGTCACTGTTGTGAACTGACCACTGCATAGAATATAAATAATAAAGTGTCTTTGTGAGTCAGGGATCCACAACACTGAACTAGTCATTGTTCTCATGGTACATGGTATGCCCAACAAATATCATCTAATTACTGCTATTAGCAATATTCTTACAAATAATGATATATTGTGTGTTTTTATTCAATACTATTTTATTCTTTCTTATTCTTTAAGTACTAAAAAGTGTCTTCAAAACTTCAAAATAGGTTTTTTAAATGTCTAGCAAGCATTTTTTTTTTTTTATTGAAATACTTTGTTGTTGGATCTTTATGGATTAATGTGTTTTCTGCATTTTTATATATTTGGCAAGCATTCTTTTAACCCTGACTGATGTAATTTGTGGCATTTCAATTGTTAAATAAATATATATATTAAGATGTATCACATGACCATTTTCCAGGATCATAATTTTTCAGCTCTTTTCAAGATTAGTGAGGTTCAGGTGCATTTTTTATGCAAATGAAATCTACTTTTACAGTTTGAAACTAATGGAAATGTTTCACAATACTTTTTAAATCCTTCTGAAAATACCATAGAAAACCACATTCGTTTGAGATGAAAGAATTTTTTGCAAACACATAACAAGACTGAGAGAGAATAATCATAGTAATAAAATGTTATATTAATTGTATTAGTTAAAGTTGGAACTTTTCCCTTTTAAAAGCCAGGAGAACTAAAATCACCAGGAAAAGGTAAAATGGCATTTGTGTGAGACAGCTTTTACACTTTCTGAGGCTAAATAATGTAATACTTAGATCAATTACAGTAATCAAAACAGGAGCGTTTGCACTAGGTTTTATCATTACAAACCTTATAATGTCATTTTAACATTGCATCATCCAGTTTGAGTTCCCAAACTCTCGCATTCAATCTGCCCAGTTGGTGGAATGAACTCCCTAACTGCATCAGAACGGCAGAGTCACTCGCTGTCTTCAAGAAACGACTAAAAACTCCACTATTTAGTCTTCACTTCCCTTCCTAATCTGCAATTGCCTCTCTGGTAACTGTATTACAAAAAAAAATTTAATAAAAAATTACTAATGTTTTGCTTCTTACACTTTACATACATGAAACTTACCTACAGCACTTATTCATTGTTGCTTTTATAGTTGTGTAAATTCCTTCCTTGTCCTCATTTGTAAGTCGCTTTGGATAAAAGCATCTGCTAAATGACTAAATGTAAATGATACTTTATGAGAAATGAGACAAGCAAGCACAGTTTACATCAGCACGAACATGCAGTAAGCACGAATGTAACAATACAATATGATTAAAACAGTAGAACAGTAGCTTGTTTCTATAAAACGACCAATTTATATATATATTTACACATACATATCATTATATATATATATACAGTTGAAGTCAGAATTATTAGCCCCCCTGAATTATTTGCGCCCCTGTTTATTTTTTTCCCCAATTTCTGTTTTAATATTAGTATTAAATAACTGATTAGTATTAATAACTGATTTATTTTATCTTCGCCATGATGACAGTAAATAATATTTTACTTGATATTTTTCAAGACACTTCTATGCAGCTTAAAGTGGCATTTAAAGGCTTAACTAGGTTAATTAGGTGAACTACGCAGGTTAGGGTAATTAGGCAAGTTATTGTTAAACAATGGTTTGTTCTGTAAACTATCGAAAAAAAACGTGCTTAAAGGGGCTAATAATTTTGTCCCAAAAATGTTTTTTTTTAAATTAATAACTGTTTTTATTCTAGCCGAAGTAAAACAAATAAGACTTTTTTCAGAATAAAAAAATATTATCAAAAATATTATCAGACATACTGTGAAAATTTCCTCGCTCTGTTAAAAATCATTTGGAAAATATTTAAAAAAGAAGAAAAATATATATACACACACACACGCACACACACAGACACACACACACACACACACACACAAATCGATACATTTTAATTTGTAAAGGTCATCCCTTGTTTGCATGAATTTAAATTGTGTTTTCACAACCATGTTTGAAAATGGATTTATCTTTATTGTAAGTATCCATGTTGACCATGGCAAGATAGCAGATGTGACAATTTGCCTGCAGTTGTTTTCAACAATTAATCAACAAATTAATGGCAATATTAAAAAATCCTTTTTACATCTGTAAACTTTTTGAACTTTTCTTGACTTTCCAGTGACTTTTGTTGGGTTATACAGATTTGGACCACCTTGTTTTCCACATTTGGCGGCTGTTAACACATTTCAAAGCCATCAGACTCTTGGGGTCTGGTTAAGGTAAACAGCATCTGTGCCACTGATAAATGAGCTGTCTGTCACATGTTTGTTTGAACATCACTGAGGGCTTCAGAGACCTCTTGCTTCGTATTTACTTTGATAAGAGTGAAAACCCAGATGAATAAAAATCTTTTGAAAAACAAATACTTGATATCAATGGTAACTACATTTCCTGATGTTTATTTGCATTAACTGTAAGCCACTTAAGACTCATCTTAAGACACAAGTTAATTGTAAAGGTGCATGAACATCTGAAGGAAAGTTTTGAAAACTAAAGAAACTATCCAACTTAAAAAAAAAAAAAGCTTATTTTAGAAATTTTACCATT